CCCCAAAACCCCAAAACCCCAAAACCCCAAAACCCCAAAACCCCAGACCTTCTATGAGCATTTGAAATATTAGGTCAAGATTTGTAATTTACATAAATTTAAACAAGAAACATTTTATGTTTTAAGAAACTTTCGATATTTATATATCTCTGAGTAGTTTTTTAGCGATCTTGTTACCGATAACTTTCGAATTCCACATTGGAGGCTTTCAAATGGGTTCTCCAAGTTTGATAATTTTGTCTCCCTTTGCTTTTTCTAAAGATCATTTAGGATGCCTACCTTCGATAAGTTTATAGAGCTTATTGAGCCTATCTGATCGAATTTTTATCTTTGGAAGTCCTAGTCCCTTCTTCACAACGATGTCAGGTAGGGAGTCTCAGGTGATAATGTTAAGTTTCCCAATGGGATGCTGACTAGTCTCATACAGGGGCTCATGATATAGATCTATAGAACTGTTCTTTATAACTGGATCAAAGTTCATAGGAGAAGTTCCCCTACTCTGAGTGACAGAGTTATTCTGTGCTCATTTCTCATTCCTTTGTTTTATCAAAGGTACTGTGGGGCTATTCAAGCTCAGGTCTTTATTTCGATCCTTTCCTCGGGTCGAAATAGGCCATGCTATTATGATGGTTCTTATTCTGGAGAGTTTTCTGAAATAATTCATTGAATTACCTTAATTCAACTTCTCGATAACATGCACTTTTGGACAAATAGGTGTTATAGAGGCCATTGAAGCTTCGCTTCCTAGCTTATTTTTGGCCTACAAGAAAAATTAGATAAATCATACTGAGTTATGGGGTGTAACTCCTTTGAGTGCTAAAGGTTCTTGCTGTATGTCTGAATTCTCACCTATTACCTTTATTAGAGGATTGATTACACTTTTTTTCAAGAATAATTCTAAGTAAACCTCACCTAAGACTGCTTTGAGTCTTTTGCCAAGAATCTTCTTTTTCCTATAAAAATTAATGAAATCAAAATTTTGGCAGCAAAGGAAGAAGGGTGTTTACATTGCCTTTCTTGCTTTCTTCATACTAAGAAGATGATGGTTCTCAACACTTGTCTTCCTCTGAGACCTTAAATATCGTTTATTTGGTAGAAATCTCCTCTAGTCAATTTTTCTCTACAGGGATAATAACCAGTGGACCGTACCTTGGGTTGGAGAATTATTCATTGACCTTAACTTTGACCCTCCAGGCTTATATCTACAGAAATAAAACTAAAGGTTTACCTAAAGAACTTATTTCCTTCTGGCTTGAGTCTTAGCAATTTCTGTGAGAAATATTTACAGTCTCAAAACTTACTGGATCCGGTTGATAATGGTCTGGGACAAATAATGAACAATCCATTTGTGTGCCATTTACCTAAAATTATTCTAACTTTCGAGGGAAATATCATGAATTAATCAGCAATGAAAGCAACTGTGTTATAACATATTAAGATATTTTATAGGGCCTACCTGGCTTAAATCAAATTGGTTCGACCGGATATATCTAGGTGTGGTATATTGAAGCTTAGCTATTCCTTCAGTTAGTAATCTCAAGCAAAGTCTAGAAAGTGATAATACTTACTATTCAAAGACTCCATATTTAATTTTATCACTAATTGGGGTTTTGGGGTTTTGGGGTTTTGGGG